TGACATTTCACAATTCTTGTTGGCTTTGAGATGGTGTGAAAAAGCCAGAATTGCTCATCAGCTGTTGTGTAGATGGGTAAGACCAAGCTTGTTGCCTCATCAGAATGCTTCATGCTCACACCAACAGATAACCAGGCATCTGTTGTAAAGAGGTGGGTACAGGAAGCATACAGGGTCAGCCTTTCTGGAGCTGAAAGGCACAAATCTACTACCAACACTTCCTCTTCTTCGATCCTTCCCCCACCCAGTGTATGTTTTGCTGCTTCTATGCCACACATTTTTGTCAAAACATGTTGAATGCCAGCTGCACTGGAATAGTCGATATCAACAGAGCATGTTGCAGGTGCACTGCCGGTGATTATTGATGGAGTAGATGAAGATGTTGAAGTACTGGCAGATGTACATGTAGACATGGATGCTGAAGTAAATGTAAGTGCTGAAGTGGATGTAGATGATGAAATGGATGTAGGAGCTGGAGTAGATGTAGATGCTAAAGTAGATGTATACCCTGAAGTAGATGTACATGCTGAAGTGGATGTAATGGTAAAATGAATGTTGTCTGCACGCAGCATCTCTTTGAGCTGAATCCGCCCATAGTTGTATGGCTTCTTGAAGGGAATGCCTTCTGGGAGACCATGGACCTCGAATCCACCTTTCAAAGATGGAACTTTGCTAGGTTTACCACAAGCATCACCTAAAAATAAGCATAACTTGGTGTAGGTCATAAAATGTCTAAGAGTTGAGTTGTAGTTTTAAAGAGCAATGTGCCTTACTGTGGCCACCAACAAATATTTTTACAAGCTAGCCAATCAGGGTGTGTGAATTTGATTCACAGGCATGCCTCCATTTGGTTGTTCCATGTTGAAACTTTCTACCGAGGCATATCTGTCAATGAAATTTGCGTACCTTGATCGGTGGCTAACTTGCAAAAATGTTTGTTGGGTGGCTACGGAAAGCAGCATCGCACTGTAATTAATTCTGTTTCTTAACTAAACGAGAAAAATTCTATTTCTGAAATAACTCATACATGCATTAAACTAAAATTTACATTCCTTTAGTACATTCCATTTGTAACTCAAACCATTAGTTACATACAAAAGGTGGTTGTTTAATGACAAATTCTGCAGTTTTTGTAAATACTTACTGTATTTCTTGTTGACAAGGTCTTGCAGATGAGCAATAGTAAATTGCTGATTATTTGCACTTATAAAACAGAAAGTAAACAAAAGACTTAATATGTAAACAAGATATGAATGGCAGCTACATGTAAGTTTCACATGAGGATTCTATTAAAGGCCCATACACTTGTATGTGGTTCAACTTACATACATGTACCTTACTTTTGAAAAAGTTACAACACCCACAACATTAATGTTTAAAAACTCTGGAGTACTTGAAAATAAATTATTCTTGGTATCAAAACGAGTCCCTGTCAAATAGGATTTTGTCCTGTAGTCCCATGAGATGCAACCCCTCACTGAAATTCCTTGTCTCAGACTCTAAGGTAGGTGGCAAAATTGTTATATAGGTGACTCAATCAATACATTATCCTGTTTACTAAGATCACAGCAGTGTCAGCATCTTGATCTTACTAACATCAACGTTGACGCAGCTATTGAAGACATGCTCCCTTCCTTGAAACAAAGTGCCAAATTGTGCCGTTCATTTTTCATAGTTCTTAGCTTCCATTAATGGGCACTTCACGAGGTCCACCAACACCCACAAAAAGGATGTTTTATGTTCCAGTTTTCCCACAAAATGGCAAACCTTAATCAGTGAATGAAATATCTGCAGTGCTCAGTGTTTGTAAGGGTAACTCATATAGGGTCATTGCTTTATTAAAATCTTAATGTATTGCCTGCTAAGGCAAGGGCAATCAAACACTAGAAAGTATACACAATGTACACCGAAAAACGAGAGAGAGGCAGGACTGAGGAGGAAAAGGGTTGATCAAGGGTTGATTAAGAACCTATCATCTATGATATGGCCACAATCCACAAATAGGATATTGGCTGCAGATGCCATCTTTGGTTTAAAATGCAAAACAGTACACTTGATTCCATATTCTTAACCTCACTCAAAGTAAATAATTATGGTGAACTTGTCACATTCAATTTCACTGTTTGAAAGCAAATATTGTCTTTCTAAGCACAATATTCTGGAAATTTTATGCTTATCTCTTGATTAGTTGCAAGAAATGCTGTTCCAGCCCTAGATCCAAGGTTGTACACTTCACCACTGATATCCAGATATAATGTGGATGTCTGACAACCCAAATCTTCAAGAATCAGGATCTATACATGCAATAAAATATGGTAATTAAAAAGATTTATATTATCTTCAGTCTTAATTATTAAGATATACGTCTAACCCAAAAACACTTCTTATGATGATAACAATAGTGATAAAAAGGAAACTATAAAATCATATGGGAATCATGCATATATAGGAAATAAATAGGAATCAATAAAACTAAGAGGGAACAAACTAGGGATAAAATAAGCTATGTACAAAAGTTGCATTCACACTCCACACTGGTAGTCAAGTTGACCTCGTCCAGCATTGATTTAAAAATGTTAAGAGAAGGAGCTCTTCTTGCATAGTCAGGTAGATTATTCCATAATCTTGTAGTGACGTATTGATATGACCTATGCATGAATCTGCTAGAATAAGTAGGCTGATGAAGCTTGCAGAGGCCTCTGAGGTCATATTTATTATTACGAAATAAAAACATCTCCCTAATATTATTCGGCCCCATGTTATATAAGCATTTATAAAAAAGGCAGAGAGCATGAGAATATCTGCGATGCTCTAGGGTCCTCAGTCCCACATGGTCAAGTAAGGTACTATATGAGTTTGACTTAGCCATGTTTAAAAGAGTTCTAATGGCATACTGATTAGTGAGCTCCAGTTTGTTAGATAGGCCAGACGGCCCAGACGATCATTTCACTTGGGTATTACCCACATTCTCAATTGAGAAATACCGGATGTTACCCTATGAGAAAATGTGACACGGGTGGTACAAGTCGTTGAACTTCGTCCTTGAAAGGAGAAAGCGCTGTATTTGCTAAACAATTATCCATTGTCCTAGATAAACAAAACTGCAGTCGATTATACTCCTGCCTGTAAACAAAACAAGCTGAAAAATTTAATGAAAATTTAATGAAGCACAAGCTTCATTAAATTTTCGTAAACTTTTCGGTTGAGTTTGGATAGAAAGTTTCCCCCAAGCAAACGGTCACCTCTTCGACTTTCATCGTCTAAAAGATTGCTTTTGAAGTGACGATTTCACTTTTACCTTACGCACCACAATACTAAAGCCAACATTTCTTTTTAAACCACGGTATGCGAGTTACCGGCAAGTCGGGCTATTTGCTTTTGCCAAGTTTGTAATCATTTCTCGTTGACATGAATACGCTGACAAAGCAAACGTCTGGGTGGTGCAACTTCCAATGAAGACTGATGGTTCTGCAAATTATGGAAAATAATGTTCAGGAAAGTAAGACCACAGAGTTGATAAAGAAAGTCGACGAGGAGGAAAAAGGACAGAGAGGAAGTGTAAGCAAAATTTTCACATGATTTCTTATGCTGTGTTGACCCATTTCCTGGCCCAATAGACTCCTGGACTAGTTATACATAATCACTGGGATAACTGTTCATAAATAGTATTAGAGCAAATCAAATTTACCTTACCAGAACTATTTAACGGTGGATCTGCGTTGTACGTGCAGAAAGGGTTAAATAAGTCCCTGTTAATGTACTGTCCGATCGCACAACCAGTTTTAGCCTCTCTTGTCACGCATTCTTTTGCAACAGCATAGTCGCTTTGAAGATACGAATAGAAGCCAAGGTTAACACATTTTATAAGGTTGTAATCCATTTATTGGCAGTCAAAGGCCTTTTTCCCATTGGCATACTTATTTTGTGTGTTTGTCTGGAGCCAGATTTTCCTGGGTGGACAACAGATAAATTACTAGGTAACAGAATAATAAAAGCAGTTCTTCTTAACCGTGAAAGTACATGTGTGTTGTAAGAAATACTTAAAAAGGCCCTAGCCTGAGATTTCTGATCACGGCAGACAGACGTGTCTTTCGAAAGAGAACTCCTCAATTCATATTCAAAGTCCACCTGCGTAAAAGTTACTTTTATACCTACAAAGTTTAGGATCTGTATTGTCTCGGTTCAGCCGAATCCGAAAATCATTCCAACACTCCACAGCTTTGGTGAAAACTGAGCCTTTGCACTGAATTTGATTGAGCAGGAATTGATCAATCAACGCCGGATCCACTTTAAGATCTCCACAATGGTATAACAGTAACTTTATCAACGATGTGACGGCGGGAACAAAACCAGCGAAAAGACCGGTTAAGTAGGTCTTCAAGTGATTTACCAGGCATGAGATCTGATACTGGTATTCAACACTACAGAGATACAAGGATCGAAAACAAGATAAATACGAGAACTTTATAAGTGGTACGGAAAAATAACGTTAACATTTAGTCTCCGACTTACGAGTAGGACTCTTACACTCTATGAATGAAAAAGCGCTTCCTAACTGGTGTAAAGAAGGTGTTTGTATTTTTTAACTCGTCAAGTAAAAGCCTTTTATATTGGTATGGTAAGAAACGAAAACATCAAAACGGTGAGTGCTTTTCGAGGGAACACCGACAGCGATGGACGAAATTCACTGGCTTCGAAGCTTAGAAGTGTGATAATAGTTGTGGCACAAAAGAAAACTTTCGCTGACTCAGAGCAAAAAAGGAAGAAACTATGGAAATTTCATTTGTATGGAAATGTTAAGAGTTGGGAAAAATGTCCTGGTAGAAAGTCAGGCAGGGGAAAGTCAGTGCTGTAAGAACGTTTCTCGTGAGATGGGAAGTCGACTAGTACCTGCAGTTGGCGTTTGCTTTGTGTTTTAAATCAGACACCATTTTCCGCTGACATTTGAATCCTCCTGCTATGAATTGCGTCATGTTGCAGTCACCAATTTTTGGATCAGCTACACAGCAATGAAGAGCTGTCGGGGGAAGGATGCAAAACAAGAATGACAGATTAGTGTGGCGTAACACTACGTAAGAGGCTCATACTAAGAGAAATGTATAAATCTAGTATCATCTCTAACACTCGGCAATTTCGATTATCCTCAATTAGGGGACTCTTCTTATTGCGGTAACTTCGAAAGGAGACTGCTTTGTTGTTGTTGTTGTTGTTGTTGATGTTGTTGTTGTTGTTGATGATGTTGTTTTCCTGTCTAAAATTAACTTATGTAGCAGATCAGGGAAAACTGAATCACTATAAGCAACAGCCAATGCGATTTACAGAATCGATTCTGCGAGATAAAGCTGTTGCATAGCTCAATAATTTCTTATTATGTTAGGAAAACATAATATTCTGGTGTCCGGTTGAAGTAACACCACATTTAAGAGTGAAATTTAGTCCAGTTATTAGATTATTCATTTTGCACGCTGGCAGAACGGCAAGATTATTAAGTAGCAAGTTCGTCACATTTTTTTAGTTAATGTGTTTTTGGCGATGCTTGCGTAAAGAAACACGTGAGAATGTTTAGCCAAAAAAATGCAAGATGCTTGACACGAAGTAAGGCAAATTTCTCTTCTTTATGGCAATGAGATTTTTCTAAGAGGTAAGAGGCCTGGCCTCTTACTTCTTAGAAGAATTCATTCATTTTTTGCTCTCTATGCCTTGTTTATGTATACGGAGTGTCTACGAAGTTTAACATTATTTAACACACTCACCGGCCAAACTTGTGGTAAGAATCCAAGTCCTGTGTAACAACATTACTTTCATCGTAGAACACGTCGAAAAACGACTACCTCATGGCCTTTCGAAATGATTAT